CTGGAAAGCCCGAGCACGGAGAACATCGAGGGCTGCACCCATCCACCGCGAGGCCGGCTCTTAAGTCTCGTGCCAGCTGCGCTTGCGTGTGAGCCTGTTTTTTTTGGACTCAGGCAAGTTTACTTGCTTGGCGTTCCCCCCCCCCTTGGCCCTTCTTCAAGCGAATACTAGCGTGCAAGTGCCTTTCGACTTGCGTGATTTCCGCGCCCCCCGCCCCCCCCCGCGGGCTTGCTTCAGGCTCAGCCCCCCACCCACCCCGTCCATGCAAGTAAACTTGCCAGAGTCTAAAAAAAAACAGGCTCTGTCCGACCGCCGAAACCCTGGACCCAAACACGTTGGCGCCTCGCTCTTGCTTCCCCCCGCCCTCCGCCGACAGGTCCCAGCCTCGAGCAGCGAGCCGGGCACGAGCATCGAGGATCAGCAGCCAGGAGGAGGGAGGAGGAAGAGGAGGAGGAGGAGGAGGAGGAGGACGAGGAGGAGGAGGAGGAGGAGGAGGAGGGAGGAGGAGGAGGAGGAGGAGGGAGGAGGAGGAGGGAGACCCTCCGCCGACCATTCCGCCAGCGGACCCGCCGCCGCCCATCTCTGCCTCCCCCGGAATCTCCGCCGGCCTCCCGCTGGCCACCCGACGGAGGGCGAGGCGCGCTGGAGGCGAGGCACCCCCTGGAGCGCCGCACTCGCTTCCAGCGCTCTCGGCCGTCCAGCCCGAAGGTTTGGAGGCCTGGAGATGGGCGCCAACACCAACACAGGGGTTTGCCTCCACAGGGGGAAGATGGTCCTGGATTTCGGTCTTGGTGGTAATATTTCGGCCACCTTGGAAGCCAGAACTCTTACCACCATCACCGAGATCGGGATCTTCTTCCCTCGGTGGAGGCACACCGCCGATATTGGTGTTGGTGTCAACCGCTAGGTTTGCGAAAGGTGACGTGCAGGGCGGCCCCACGACGCCCCTCAGAGGCCCCGCCACCCCGTGGGGAGGCCTCGAGGGGCCCTCCGAGGAGCCCCCACGATGCCTCTGGAAGGCCCTCGAGAGGCCCCCGCCCTCCGACCGGCCCGCACGGCCGCGGCATGAGCCGAAGGCTCTCGGAGACGTGCTGCAGAATCATATGACTTTTAATACATGCTTTATGTATGCATAAATGTATGCATGAACTCATCGTTGTTTTTAATACTAAAGCCCTGTATCTTTAATACACGATCCGCACGCGGAGCATGTATTAAGAACGGCACTGTATGCCACATGGGACGCCGAGCGGGGAACGGAGGGGCTCTTCTTGCCACCGCGAGCCTCGGCCATCGCACCGGAGGCCAGAGCCCCTCCTGGGCACAGCGCGGTCCTTGATTCCAGCGTCCTCACTGCATACGTACGCCAAGGACGTGCTGCGCAGCGTGTCGAAGGCGGCGGCCCTGGCGACACGCTGTGCCCTGCAAGCGCACGGCGTGCTGCTGCGCTCCGTGGTGCGAGAGGCTGGGAGGAGCCCGGAACGCTGATGCTGGGGACCAGGGCGTGCGCAGCGTGTCGCGACGAAGCGTGTACCAGAACCGGCGGCGAGGCACGCAAGGCAAACGCTCCTCCTCGGGCGCGGTGGAGGGCAAGCGCGGCAGCGCAGCTGGACAAGCCTCTCCACAGGCAGAGCGCGGCGGCGGGGTCGCAGGCTGGGCTCGGATATCTTTGCCGTCGGTGCGGGCGACGACGGGCGCGGTGCGCTGAGATCGCCAACACAACCTGTTCCGCCGTGGCGAACCCAGACATCCGATGCCTTGCCTTGTGCCGAATGCGAGGCCCCCGCGACCCCTTCCCCAAAGCCGACGTACTCCCTCTCCCCAGGGCCAGGCCGGGCCGGCGCTCCACGGCGAGCCCCTGCTGTTCTGACGGCCCCGGGGCCCCGCGAGCGCCCCAGGAGGCCGGAGACGGCCAGAAGCCTCTCGGTATGATTGCTCGACGACGCAGAAATGCCAGGCTGTCCAAAACAGCGCAACCCCTCCGCCTTGATGCTTGCTTACCCTCGACCTCCACCTCCCGCGGCCGCCGCTGCGGCCGCAGCGGTGGCCACCACCGCGGTCCCCAACGGCGGCCACTGCGCGGCGCCTGTCGCACAGAAGGTACGGGAGGAGGCGGTCGAGGGCAAGACGTCGGATGTCCATGAAGGCTGTCCACCTCTGGGCGCCTGTGAGACTCTGTGCTGCGAGGTCCGCGCGCTTGGCGGCACTTCGTCGCACACTGGCAGCCCAGCACGCCCGCAGGGGCGGAGCTCCAGCTCCTCTCTCCATCTGGCAGCGCCGCACCGCGCCGCTCCTCCTCCTCCTCCTCCTCCTCCTCTTCCTCCTCCTTCCCTCCTCCTCCTCGTCCTCCTCCTCCTCCTCCTCCTCCTCCTCCTCCTCCTCCTCCTCCTCCTCCTCCGCCTAATAAAGAATTACTTCTCTCTGTCGCACCCCGAGGCCAGTTTTAGGGCGGTCCAAGCGTTTCGCCGGAGACGTCCTCACCATTTCTGACCCTGAAGCTTCAAAAATTGGCAACAGTTTCACAGGTGGAGGGCGGGTGGCTTTCAAAATGTGGCTCTCGCCTTAGCGCCGCGCGCATGCGTTTTGAATTTGCAGGAGCTTCACGGATAGAGGGCGGGTGGTTTTCTCAAAAGTTGAATCTCGCCTTAGCGCCGCGCACATTCGTTGAAAAGATCTGCAACAGTTTAACGGATTGAGGGCGGGTGGTTTCAAACATGTGGCTCTCGCCTTTGCGCCGCGCGCACTCGTTTTTTTTTTTGCAAATTTGCAAGAGTTTCACAGGTTGAGGGCGGCTCCTTTTCAAAATGTGGCTCTCGCCTTAGCGCCGCGCACATTCGTATTCAAAAATGGCAACAGCATCACGGATTGAGGACGGATGATTTTCAAAATGTGGCTCTCGCCTTAGCGCCGCGCACATTCGTTTCCAAAAAGCAAAAGTTTCACGAAAACCCATGATCGACGTACCAGAAATTGTGTTTTGGAAGGATTCACGGATTCACGACCATGAGGGCGCAATAGTCAGGATGATTCGCGGCGTTGAACTCCAAGGAATGGCGTTCCGGCACGATTCAGGATCGTCAAGACGCAACAGTCAGGTTGATCCGTGGAGTTGGAATCCCGAGAACAATGTTTTGACATGCTTCAGGGTCTTCAAACGGTTGTCGTCCAACGAGACAGGTCTCTCTGTGGAAATGAACTGTTATAGGCGCCTATGAAGAGGAAGCTTGGGGGGAGGGCTTATTCCAAGATCGTTGGTGACTCTGGCTGGCGTTTACAATGGTCCTCCTCCTCCTCCTACTCCTCCTCCTCCTCAGCATCCTCCTCCGCCTCCTCCTCCATCACATCATCCTCATCAGCATCATCAACAACAACATCATCATCATCTTCAGCATCATCACCAGCATCATCATCACCATCATCATTCCCCTCCTCCTCCACCTCCTGCTCCTCTTCCTCCTCCTCCGCCTCCTCCATTCCTTCTCCTTATGAACAACTTCTCCATGTCGCACCCCGAAGCCAATTTCTAGGGCGGGCCGGGCATTTCGCCGGAGATGTCATCAGCATCTACGACCCTAAAATTTGAATTTTGACAACTGTTTCAGAAATGAATGACGGGTCGTTTTCAAAATGTGGCTCTCGCCTTAGCGCCGCGCACACTCGTTTTCAAATGTTGTATTAGCTTCACGGTTTGAGGGAGGGTAGTTTTGAAAATGTGGTTCTCGCCTTAGCGCCGTGCAGATTCGCTTTCTTTGCAAAGTTGCAAGAGTTTCACAAGTTGAGGGCGGCTCCTTTTCAAAATGTGGCTCTCGCCCTAGCGCCGCGCATACATTTCTTCTAACAAAATACGGATTCCCATAACCGACGTACCAAGAATTGCGTGTTGGAAGTAATTACGACTATGAGGGCGCAACAATTACGAGGAATCGCGGTGTTGAACTCCTAGGAATGGCGTTCGGGCACGATTCAGGATCGTCAAGACGCAACAATCAGGTTGATCGGTGGCGTTGGAATACCGAGAACAATGTTTTGGCATGCGCCAGGGTCTTCAAACGGTTGTCTTCCATCGAGGCAGGTCCCTCTGTGGATATGAACCGTTGTATGGGGCCTATGACGAGGGAGCTTGGTTGGAGGGCGGACTCCAACATCGATGGTGACTCTTGGGTTTGCACTGGTCGTCCTCATCCTCCTCCTCCCCCTCCTCCTCCTCCTCCTCCTCCTCATCCTTCCTCCTCATCCAACTCCTCCTCCTCCTCCTCCTCCTCCTCCTCCTCCTCCTTCCTCCTCCTCCTCCTCCTTTTCCTCCTCCTCTCCTCCTGCTCCTCCTCCTCCTCCTCCTCCTCCTCCTGATCATCATCATCAGCATCAGCACAGCATCAGCATCATCATCATCATCATCATCATCATCATCATCATCATCATCATCATCATCATCATCACATCATCATCATCATTCCTCCTCCTCCTCCTCCTCCTCCTCCTCCTCCTCCTCCTCCTCCTCCTCCTCCTCCTCCTCCTCCTCCTCCTCCTCCTCCTCCTCCTCCTCCTCCTCCTCCTCCTCCTCCTCCTCCTCTCCTCCTCCCCCCTCCCTCCCTCCCTCCCCCCTCCCTCCCTCCCCTCCCCCCATCTCCCTCCTCCCCTCCTTCCTCCCTCCCTCCTCCCTCCTCCCTCCCTCCATCCATCCCTCTCTCCCTACCTCCCGCCCCTCCCTCCCTCCCTCCCTCCCTCCTTCCCTCCTCCTCCTCCCTCCCCCATCCGAACGACGACGAGGCGGTGAAGCAGTAGGAGGAGCAGGAGGAGGAGGAGGGGGGAGCAGAGACCAGGAGGGCCAAGGTGGGCGAGGAGGGACGAGGAGGGACGAGGAGGGGCAGGGAGGAGCTGGAGGGAGAGGGGCCCCCTTCCCCCTTTCCCACCCCCCAGGGGCACAGAGCCTCGAGCCCACCCGATCCCGTTGCTGGGTCGATCCAGAGCGCCGCCGCCCCAGGGTCGAGAGGGAACGCGCG